ACCCAGAGCTACCTGCCGCCACCTTGTTGAGATGTGTGTTTGAGAGAGAGTGTGTTTGTGTGTGTGTTTTGCCATGAACTGTGGCCCCAGCATATAGTGTTTCAGTGAGGGAGAAGCTGAAAGACCAAGACTCTTCCCAAGTTAGCTTGTCTCCTCTGTCACCCTAAGAGCCACTGAGTTCTATAGGGATGAAGACTATTGAAGGCTCCATTGCCAAACCATGGCCTTTCCTCAGTGTTGTAAGGCCTATGCCAAGGATAAAGGAAGGGTATGCCTTTGGGTACTCCAGGCACACACCTTTCTGAAATCCTTCTCCAGCCAGCTGCTGCAGACAAAAGATGACATTTCTGGGAAGATGAGGACTTATTTCCAGACCAGCACCCAGTGGCCATCAGGTCTTGTGGCCCAAAGGCTGTGCTTGCGTCCAGCTGAGTGCCTGGGATGGGCCCTTTCTATGTTTCCCCAAGGCTGGGGTGCTGAGCCTGCCTTCCTCACCACCTAGCCATAGTCTCAAACGTGGGGAAGGAGGTTTTCTCCCTGCCCGGTAAGAGGACAGATAACTGATTTCCGTTCTTTTGACTCTGTTTTAAAATTCTCTTTCTAAACACGGAGTGTCGGGCCTGGTTTGTTTCTGACAAAGTTACAATCCTGGGCCTGTGATGAATGTCGGCAGCGCTGGGGTTGCAGGGAAAAGATAAATCCTCAAAGCGTGGACATGTGTGTCCCCGTGACTTGTGGATCAGCTGAGCTTGGGATCATTTCCATAAGTCTGCTCTTCAGGGATTCTCTGCTGGTGCTGGTGCAAGGACTTTTGTTCCAAGGGCTGGGAAGAACTAAGCTGCCCCAGCCCCTCCCATTTCTTGGGCAGGGCTCTTTCCTGTTGTGTCTTCCCCCAGGGCCTATCCTCTGCTGAGCTCTGTCTGTTCCAGCCTTCATCCTTCCTGGCTGTTGCTTTGCCTCCCGAGGGCCTCAGAACTTCTGCTGTTCCTGGGCTGAGGGGGAATGAGTGTTCTTGCCATTTGCCAGCCTAATGCACATGCTTTCTGCCTCTGGTAACAGGAGTGAGTGAGCCCCTCAGACCTGCACTCTGGGTGTCTCCTGCTTTCAAAGATTCTTAATAGTGAATGCTTTAGAATTAAAGTCATCATGAAATGGAAGTTTTCCCAGGGTGGAAAATGAGGAAGTGCTGCTGTAATTGGGAGCACAAGGGGCCTCCCAAAAAGGAGCCCCACCTCAGCATCACTGCCTTAATTATGGCCTCCCTGGGTGGGTGGGGTTCTCTCCTCCCTCCCTCCTGGGGTGGGAGGGAGCTCCTATTCCCATCTCTGTGTTCCCTGGAGGCAAGTATCACAAAGCATTTATGAATTGCTTCAGGTGCAGGGACACCACCCACTCAGGACTCTTCCCCATTATCCCTTCTATTGCCACACCCTAGGTCCAGCCTCAGGAACTAATAAGTTCCGAGAAAAGCAGAGGATAGAGCAGCAGCTTGGTGCTCTCAGTGGTAGCTGGCTGGCTGGCTGGCATCTTTCTCTAGCGTTGTGGTACCACCTTCCCTCCTGTTACAAGGTTATAGGGCCTTGTCTTTCTCTTTGGAATCAAAGTGGAACAGAGTCCCCAGAACTCATGTGGTCATTTCCGCCAGCATCATTCCCCTGGCCTGTGGGGTCCCAGTGTACCTAAAGGGAAAAGGGCCCCATATGCTAGCCAGGAATACCATCTCTTGAAGGAAAGCTGGAGCTCAGACCCTTAGAGCCAACTGTGGCTTTGGACCCAAGGCCTGGCCTAGGCTGCTATCCTAATATTGCAGGAGGGGCCTCTCTTCCAAGCCCCACCCTAAGGGTTAGCCCTTGGCCAAATCTTTTTCTGTATGGGCCCAGCTAGGCTCTTCTGACTAAAGCAATAAGACGCTCTAAGCTGACTTGAGTTTCTAGGACCCTTTCCGCCCTCCCTTGGATCTCCATGTTTTTCCAGATGAAAGAAGAGCGTGTGCCACCCCCTTTCCTAACAGGCTTGTCCAAGTGCTTGGTGTGGGGCCCATGACCAAAGCCCAGGATGGCTTGGTGGGAGTGTCCCTGCTGCATCTGCATGAAGCCCCTGCTTTCTAGGCCTCGCTCCCATCAGAACCCTGCCTGCCCACCTGCAACTCCCCCACAGCAATGCCATTCCCACTTGCCCCAGAGAAGCTACTCAGCCAAACCTAGCCAGGGTCCATTCATGTGAACCAGAGCCAGCCTAGTCATTATTTGCTGTCGGGTTTCCAGTTTCACCGTGTGTTAGGGTGAGGGATGACTGTAAAATGTGCTCCTCAGAGGAATCAGGCCAGACTCAATTTTGGAGGGCAAGACAGGGAGGAAGCTGCTTCATCTCGGACTCTGTTCTAGGGCTTCCTACCATCAGCCCCTCCCACTTGAGACTGGTCTTTGGGAGGTAATAGGCCACCATGCTTGGTCAGCACCAATTCAAGCCATGCCAGGAATCTGCCTACCTGCCAGGTTCAGTTCTTTTAAGGTGCCTCTTCAGGGACACAGTGTGTCTCTCTGATTGGGCTTCTAAATCAAAAGCCTGATGTTCGTGTCCCTCTCATAGGGGGAGCTTTGGACACAGGACCAGTTTGGAAAAGGGTCAGGTAAGGGTTTCCACTCTGCACATTGTAGAGGGGACACTCTGTAGGCCCATGGGTCCCTTACTAGAAAGGTTGAGTGAATTTGCCTTCAGTTAACCTGGGACCTTCTGTTTAGCTTCCTTCTGCCTCCCAAAGATTTTAAGCATTTTGTAAATGTATAAACTCACCTCTGGTAACAGTGGCCCAGACGCTGCTTTGTGCTAAAAGCATGGGAAGTGTAAAGGCAGTCTTTCCCTGGGAAATGGATGTTACTCTATTCTGCTGCCCCTACCTGTTCCTAAGGCCTCATTTAGAAAGAAAGTCCCCTCAGAAGGCTGTCTGGCACTTAGTGTCCTAGCCAGGTCAAGTATATGAGAAAGGTAAGTTCATTTTCCCCTTCAGGTCCTCAGTGGATTACTTAACCACTGCTGTCCCTCGGTCCCTTTTTCCTAAACAGGGGTTTAGTTCTGTCTTTTTCTCCTTTTTTCTAAATGCCGGTAAATATCTACATTCAGCCAGGAAAGAGGAGGCCAGAGGTCAGGCCAGCTGCCCCCATTCTTTTAACGTTGTAGGGCCTGCCCCTGGAGTGGACCCTCTTCTTTGGGCCTCGTGAGCTTTTTTGCTTATCATGTTCAATCTCGTGCCGCTTTCCCCCTTCAAGACGCCACTTGGAGGGTAGGGGATCTGCTTCCCACTGTAACTGGGCTATGGGATGCTGACTACCTTGCTTACAGATTCATGGTTTGATAAATTTGTTGTATTCAAAAACTTGAAATGCAGGACGCCATTAAGTGTCTGTTTATATTTTTGGAATATTTGTATTACTTACAATTAATTAATAAAAGTGGTTTTAAAAACCTATCCAGGAATGTGAGCTGCCACTGACCTTCATTGGCCCTTAGGTGTTCACTGAGCCCTTAGCAATCACCGCCTTTCTTCTCGCAACCCCTTCCATCGTGAAGCAGCTGCACCCCAGGCTGAGTGGGGTGTTGTACCCACCGGGAGACCAGCTGCAGATGCCACATAGGGCTTCCACTCAAAGTTAGACAAGTTCTGCTGTGATCAACCCCATTGCAGTCAGGTGCTTAGCAAGCATATATGCTTGATGTCCTGTTGACTTCTGGGCATCAACCAGAAGCCCTAAGGGAATGGAGTCTTTTTTTTTTTTTTTTTTTTTTAGATAGAGTCTTGCCCTGTTGCCCAGGCTAGAGTGCAGTGGCGTGATCTCGGCTCACTGCAACCGCCACTTCCCGGGTTCAAGAGATTCTCCTGCCTTAGCCTCCTGAGTAGCTGGGATTACAGGTGCCCACCACCATGTGCGGTTAATTTTTGTATTTTTAGTAGAGATGGGGTTTCACCATCTTGGCCAGGCTGTTCTTGAACTCCTGACCTCGTGATCCACCCACCTCAGCCTCCTAAAGTGCTGGGATTACAGGTGTGATCCACCACCGCACCGGGCCCTGGGAATGGAGTTTTTTTTTTTTTTTTTTGAGACGGAGTCTCGCTCTGTCCCCAGGCTGGAGTGCAGTGGCACAATCTCAACTCGCCACAAGCTCCACCTCCCGGGCTCACACTATTCTGCCTCAGCCTCCCAAGTAGCTGGGACTACACGCACCTGCCACCACACCCAGCTAATTTTTTGTACTTTTAGTAGAGACAGGGTTTCACCATGTGAACCAGGATGGTCTCCATCTCCTGACCTCGTGATCGCCTGCCTCGGCCCCGGAAAGTACTGGGATTACAGGCGTGAGCCACCGCGCCCAGCCTGGGAACGGAGTCTTGATTCTTCTCTGCCCCTGATTCTTCTAAACTGGGAACTCTGAAGCTGAGAGCCCAGCATGGTTCCTGGCAAACAGTAGGCACTCAAATATTGATTGGTTTACTGTATGACTAATAGAGACCCCAACGAGCAAAACTAATAAAATTCTCCTGGCTCCTCTCCCAGACTTCCCCTCCCTTTGAGAAATACCAGAAGCTTCTTCGGGAGGCTCTTGCCAGCCTAGACATCACAGGCACACATGGGGCAGCTCCAGCCTCTGCCTCCTGTCATCACCATAATGCATCCATATCTACAATATGGCAAATTTCATATCCTTCCAACCTCTTTCCTGCATTATTGATGGGCTGTGTGCACTTTTTAAAAAATCAATTAGATCAGGGCGTGGAGCTGGAGTTAAAAGAAGCCTTTAAAAGTCTGCTCTTCTTGTTTTGCTGTTTTGAATAGGCACAGATAAAGCTTTCCCTCTGGTTTGAATAAGTCAAGCTCAGTGCTAGGTTGGCTCTGATTGGCCAGGACTAGGAAAACGCAGTTAAGATGCAAACACAAGCAAATATAACCCAGTGTCTCTGCGGCCATTACTAAGCTAAGGCAGCAGACCCGGAGCCTCCTGCTTTGGAGTGGTTCTTCAATACTGCTGCTGCTGCTTACTCATCGGGAAACAACTGGGAAAGCTGGTGAGCGAGAAGGCAAGGTAAGGTCTCTGATTTACGGGGGCATGCCAGTTAATCCTGAATGAGGAATAAATGAAAGGAACAGGAGCTTGAGATTCCCTTGGCTTTGTCCTCTGAGATGAGACTTAAAATGAACCAAGAGTCTCGCCAGTTTTGCAAACTTCTTGTTGAGAAGTAGAAGCCCTTAGAGGCAGCTGAACATATAGGGCACATTTTCAAAAGCTGGGAAAGACAGACCCCTTTCACCTATCCTCAGAGAAAAATGGTATGGAGCAAGGCAGGAGGAGTTAAAACCAGCTTCCTGGCCCAGAGAAGTGGCTCACACCTGTAATCCCAACACTTTGGGAAGCCAGGGAATGAGGATTGTTTGAGCCCAGGAATTTGTAACTTGTGACCATCCTGGGCAACACAGTGAGACCCCGTCTCTACAAAAAATAATAAAATAGCCAGGCATGGTGGTGCACACCTGTGGTCTCAGCTTCTCAGGAGGCTGAGGCAGAAGGATCACTTAAGCCCAGGAGGTAGAGGTTGCAGTGAGCTGTTACCGTACCACTGCACTCCAGCCTGGGTGACAGAGCAAGACCCTGTCTCAAAAACAACAACAAAAATCAGCTTCCTCTGCTCAGGGTCCATCCATAAGGGCATCTCTGAGAATTAAAGGCCACTGGCTTTTAACCTCAAAACTGTGCCCCCGACCCAAGGGGTTTCTGTAGTCCCCTCAAAGAACACTGAATTAGGATTTAGGGAGGAGAGAAGGAGAGACGCAGCTTTGGGAGACTTTGATGTTAGAACTGTGTTTTCTGTGTGTTCCAGTGTGGCAGGAAGTCCCTTCCTGGAGTTTATCCTCTCGCATTCCGGGTGCCTAGCCCAGTGAGCTCCTTGATTCCTAAATTCCTGCTGGGAAATGGGACAGGTTTCAGCCTCTGAGGCTCACAGTCCTAACTGCTGCCGGCTGGTTTGGCTTTTACCAGGGTGACAGTTCTGTCTCCAAGGAATAAATTCACTGGCCTTTGTCCCCCTCCCCCAATTGGCTCATGGCTTTTGCCTTAATGACTGCTACATAGGGTCTGAAGAAAACCCAAACACCATATTTCCTGGCAATTCTGAGCAGCACAGGGTGGGGCAGCACAAGTTATCAAATTAGATTCTCAAACACTGGCTGCTCCGCACCATTGCCTTGCTTTAGTCCTGTTATAGCAGTAGACAAAGGGAGTTTGCTTTGTGCTTTATGGTTTTTTGCCAAAGTCCATACTAGATGGCGCATGTTCTCCAACTTGGCTTTGTCCATCAAGGTTCAAGAAAACAATGGTCAGACATGTTCCTCTTAACAAGCACAGTATGTCCCCAAATAGCAAAAATCCATACAGTCCTTTCTGGGTGAATTTTTAAATCTTATGTAAATCCATCAACCCCATCCTTTTTCCTTTGCCTGTCAGGAGAAATTCATCTAGCTTTACATAAATTATGCATGTTATCAGATTTCAAGCTCCTTGAGAGCAGGTATTTTAATTCTATAAAGCCTCTACGTGACCTTGGACATGGGTAGGTGCTTAATTACTCGAGATGCTCCTTGAATACAGACAGTACACGACCCACACAGACTTAGATCTTTACCACTTCCTCCCTCTCCCCACCCTGACTTGCCCAATCCTGAAGGAACTGGAGACGTCTAAGTGTCTGAGGTTCACACTTCCACGGAGAAGCTTGGGTCTGTGTGGGAGGGAGAAAGGAAGCCATCTGTCCACAGGCCAGACCAGGCCACACCCTGCTGGCACCCAGAACCCTTTGTCCCAGGCCCAGCCCTGTCATTTTACTTTCCTTTGTATCTGGAAAGCACAGGAAATATAGTAGTCATATGACAAAAGAAGGAAGGGTTGTCTGAGTTTTAGAATAGTTTACTCAAAAAAAAAAAAAACAAAACATAAAAGCCAAAGAGAAGGTCAAAGTTGACTGTGGAGAAGGCCTTGCAAGCAGGGAACTTGGGAAGAATTAGAGGGAATGAGTGAGAGAAGGCACCTGAGTTTGGAAATATTTTTTCTGACTAGCTTTTCTTTCCAAATGCCACTGAACTTAGATTGGTTTAGAAAGGGTTGTAGTACATCAAAGTGGCTAGAAGCATAGGTTTGGGGATCAGATAAGGATTTCATTCTACAGTGTGATCTTGTACAAGTTATTCAGCCTTTGTAAACCTCAAATTCACACAACGTAAGATGAAGAAAATCACCTTCTGAAAATTAGAGATAACATACGCAAAGTGAATCAATACAGGGCTTAACATATTTATCACCCCTTTGGTAAATAACCATGACGATTACCAGAGTTGTTAAGGGCAGTGGCAGGTGAGAAGCAGAACTCATGGGTGGTAATCCCTGGGCCAGCCAGGCTGACCATGTGCACTTGGACGGACAAGTCCTTGACCCCATCATTGTGAAATGGTGCAGGGATGCACCACGAGGGTGTGGCAAGATGGCTGACAACAGACTGGGAAGCAACTCAGCAGAAAAACTGGATTGATGCCCATTATGGCGAGAGGCATCACCTCCCTGTGTTCTGTGATGTTTCAGTCTTGGAAAGACAAGCACCATGTCTCTGACCAGTGCCTTCAGGGCTGTGGACAATGACCCTGGGATCATCGTCTGGAGAATAGAGGTGAGGTGGGCTGGAGGCACCTTACTTGTGACTACTGGAGTCTGGAAGCAGAGTCTGGCTGCCTGGGGCTGCTAGGCAACAGCCCGGCAGCACCCCTTAGCCTGTGGTTTGAGGAGAATGAGAGGCAGCATCAAAGTACCTATTTCCCATCCTTTACCTCTCCTGGGTGCTCAAAGCAGGTGGCTGGCAGGTGGAGGAAATGTTCAGACCCGAAGAGCAGGGCTCCAGGCAAAAACAAGCTTGTCCTTTAGCCAGCCACCTGCTCAGTGAGTCTGCACTCGCAGGAAATACCCTGGAAAGACAGGTGGGACCTACTCAGCAGATTCCTGGCAGCTTCCATCAGAGAAATGGAACATGTCTTCCACAGGGCACCCTGGCTCCTACAAAATATGGGGAGAGGTGAGGGGGCACTGCAGAGATGAGGTGCTGTTCAGCCCATCTCCTCTTGGGCTTGGGCCACTCTGTGTGGCTGTGACATCCAGCAATCCATAGCTGGGAACTACCCTGGCCTGGGTAGCTCCACCTGCCAGATATGAAGATTCCCCCTAACCCCCGCCCCGAGCCCAGTCAGTTGCTGCTGCATAAAACCCAGAGGTAATGCCTCACTTCACTATTCTCAACCAGGATGGGGAGTCAGCTCTCCAGCAAGCCTCGCAGAGATTGTGAGGCCCAGGTCACTTCCATTGTTTTAAGGCTTCCAGTTTCCTTAAAAACTAACAGGTACTGGCCAGGTGCAGTGGTTTACGCCTGTAATCCCAGCACTTTGGGAGGCCGAGGTGGGCAGATCACGAGTTCAGGAGATCGAGACCATTCTGGCTAACACGGTGAAACCCCGCCTCTACTACAAATACAAAAACTTAGCTGGGCGTGGTGGTGGGCACCTGTAGTCCCAGCTACTTGGGAGGCTGAGGCAGGAAAATGGCGTGAACCCAGGTGGAGCTTGCAGTGAGCCGAGATAGTGCCACTGCACTCCAGCCTGGGCGACAAAGAGAGACTCCATCTCAAAACAAACAAACAAACAAAAATAACTAACAGGTACTAAAACACGGTTACCAGAATTGCAGTATATTTAACATTTAACACATTTCACATAGCACACACACAAGTATGGCTGCAAGTTTCCCTCACTTGGAGAGTGTGATGAAAATCTACATGAAGGCTGTGTGAACAGTCCTCCAGGGGCAAGCCATACATGCAGTGACAAATCAGGGCCCTGACCCAGACTCCAAATATAAGACACTTGGCACAGAGCCCTGCTGACCGCTGGCACTCTCCAAATGTTATCCTCCACCTCCCACGGCCCCGCAGAATCCGAGTGTTCTTTCCTACATGGGCCTGGTCCAGCACCCTGTGGTCAGCATTGGGAAGAGCGTTGGAGGTTCTGGCACAACAGCTCAGAGAAGGGTTTGTACTTGGTCGTTTATATCCAGCAAAGGGCTGGAGGTGGCTCACAGGCTTCCCACAATAGTGTGAGATGAGATCGGGTGGGAAGTGGAGAGAATAGGGCGAGGGAAAGCAGGATAGGGACCAGATTCAGATCCAGGGTGATGCAAGCAGAGCTCACAGAAGCCAGAGGAGTGGCTACATTAACCCTGTGGCTGGCTGCCTCACGTCCTATAAGGTCATTGGGAACATCTCCCTTCCTTCTCCCCACCACCTGCACCAAATGACAGAGAGGAGAGGGAGGCTCGTGGGGAAGGGAGGTGGGAGGGGATGTAGCCTATACCCACCCCTTGTCCTTCCAGAAAATGGAGCTGGCGTTGGTGCCTGTGAGAGCCCATGGCAACTTCTATGAGGGGGACTGCTATGTCATCCTCTCGGTGAGCACCCTCCTCCTCCTCCCTACTCCTGTGAGCTTCTCCCCTGGGGCCAGTTCTTGGGCTCTACTGGGAGATGTGCTGGTGAGGGAAGATAGTCCCTGGTATCGGTCTCAATGGTTCCTCAGTGCTATGCAGCAGACCTCCAGTCTATCAAAGGCCATCATTAGGCCTGGGTTTTTAATTCTGCATCAGAGGATGGGGGTATGACCCTCAGTCTGAACCTCAGTAAGCCACCCACAAGCAGCACTTCTCCCAGGCCTAGGTCCCACATTAAAGTGGTGTGGAAGAAAGCCAGATAAATGCAAGGCCTGTCTCTAGCCTCAAAGTGCTGATTCTCATGGAGGAGACTCACATGAACGGTGCTGACAGGGCTGTGCAGGTGTACAGATCAGCACTGTGCCAGCTGTGTGAGTGTAAGGGACCAAGGGGACCTGTGAGGTAAGCCTGCAACCTGGCTGGGAAGAGATCCCCGTTGGTCTCTATTTATTTGGGGAACAACAAGCTGTCAACTTTACCCAGATGTGGGGAGGAATTTGGGCCGCCAAAGCTTATGCCATGATCGCAGGTCTGCTCGGGGGCCAGGGCAGCTCCTGCATCCACCGCAGGAGAGAGGGCCCTCAGTCTGCCAAGGGCAGGCACATGTGCTGCATTCTCCCCATGACAGAGGGGCCACCAGCAAAGGTGGAGGTGAGCTGGCCCCTGACCTGATCTCTCTGACTACATCCCAGACCCGGAGAGTGGCCAGTCTCCTATCCCAGGACATCCACTTCTGGATCGGGAAGGACTCCTCCCAGGATGAGCAGAGCTGTGCAGCCATCTACACCACACAGCTGGACGACTACCTGGGAGGCAGCCCTGTGCAGCACCGAGAGGTCCAGTACCATGAGTCAGACACCTTCCGTGGCTACTTCAAGCAGGGCATCATGTGAGTAGGGGTGCACAGAGTAAGGACAGAAACAGCAGTTTACAGAGGAGGAAACCCAAAAGGCCAACATGCATATCAAGAAAGTAATCAGAGAAATGCAAATCAAAACAAAGCTGTCACTTCCACCCACTAGAGTAGCAAATTAAACAGCTGGGAGGTGACAAGTGTTGGCAAGGCTATGGAGAAATAGGAGCCCTTGTGCCCTGCTGATGGAAGTATAGACTAGCACAGCATCCTGGAGAGTAGTCAGTGCCACTTGCAAATCGCACTTCTGCGTGTGTAACTCACAGAAATCCTCACGTATCCATGTCCATAAGGGCACATGGACCACACTGTTCACAGCAGCCTCATTAATGATGTTAGGAAGCTGCAGGCAACATAGGTGTCCATAACTGGGAGACAGGACATGCACACCACGGAGTATTATGCAGTAGCCAGAAGCAACAGATTAGATACATGCCTAACACAAGGACAGAGCTCACAAACATGGTGCTTAGCACACAAAGTAAGAAACAGACTAAGACATATAACAGAATGCCAATTTCTGTTTTAAAAAGCACATGCATGGACGGGCGTGGTGGCTCATGCCTGTAATCCCAGCACTTTGGGAGGCCAAGGCAGGCAGATCACAAGGTCAGGAATTCAAGACCAGCCTGGTCAACATGGTGAAACCCCGTCTCTACTAAAAATACAAAAATTAGCCAGGTGTGGTGGCGCATACCTGTAATACCAGATACTCGAGAGGCTGAGGCAGGAGAATCACTTGAACCCAGGAGGTGGAGGTTGCAGTGAGCTGAGATCACGCCACTGCCCTCCAGTCCCGTGACAGACCAAGACACCATCTCAAACAAAACAAAACAAAACCATGCACACAAAACAACATGATAGGTTGGGCATGGTGGCTCACGCCTGTAATCCCAGCACTTTGTGAGGCTGAGGCAGGAGGATCGCTTAAGCCCAAGAGTTGAAGACCAGCCTAGGCAACATAGTGAGATTCCCCATCTCTACAAAAAAATACTTTGTAAAAAAGCTAGCCAGGCATGGTGGTGCACTCCTATAGTCCTAGCTACTCCATGGGCTGAGGGTATCGAGCCCTCAGTTATCGAGCCTGCAGTCCCTGATGAGGATCACTTAAGCCCGGGAGGTCAAGGCTGCAATGAGCCATGATTGCACTACTGAACTCTAGCCCGGGTGACAGAGAGAGACCCTGTCTTTAAAAAAAAAAAAGGGGGGGGGGGCGAGGCACAGTTTACTAGAATGAAAATAAAAAGGTCAACAGTTAGAATGGAAGCGTATGGGGAAAGGAATGGGAGTAGGGCAAGCAGGTAAAGGGAATGCACAGACACCTAACACAAGAGAGGGAGTGAAGGCCGATGATAATGTTCCATCAACTGAGAAGTTTAACTCAAAACTTTGCCCCTGATATTAAAACAAAAAGAGGAATTCCAATGAGCTTGAGAATTGTGAGGCCGGGCCAAGATCAGCTTCTTGCAGGTCAGCAGTCTCCACTGACTGAGGCCCTTCTGGGCACAGAGGACCACACTGAGCCAGTGGGGAACCCAAGGACAAAGCCCCTCTGCTCCAGGGCTACCTTCTGCATTCAAGTGCAGGACGCCTGGCTCGGAGGTTGGGCTGGACTGAGTGCCAGGGCGGGCAAGCTGATTCCTAGGGTAGGTGGTCTTAAGGTTGTGGAGTCATTAATGCTTCTGCTGCGGCCCAACTTGTACCCCTCTCCCAGTGACACACTGGCATTCAGACAGTTCCTGGAACAAAACAAGCCCTCTGTGCAGGGGGTCTTCGTCACTGATGTCTCCTTTGCCTGGAGCACTCTTCCTCTGGGTATTGGTTCATTTTCCTTGTAGTATCTCAGCTCAAATGTCACTTCTTCAGAGAAGACTGTCCCGACTCACTACCAGAAAGTCACTCACCCAGTCTACTTGTGGGGCAGCAGCTGTCACCATCTGTATTTACCTTGCTGATGTACTGTCATCATCACACGAGTGAGGCTGCATCTGTGTAATTCACCACTGTCTCCCCAGAACCTAGCACATAGCAGGCACTCAAATAACTGAATGGATGTTCCCTTAGCTACAAGAAGGGGGGTGTCGCCTCTGGGATGAAGCACGTGGAGACCAACACCTACAACGTGAAGCGGCTGCTACATGTGAAGGGGAAAAGAAACATCAGGGCCACTGAGGTTAGTCCTGCACACTGTCTGCCCCAGGCCCAGGATTTCTCTACCTGGCACCTAAGAATTCCTCCTGAACAATGTTTACCTCTCATCGACAGGTGGAAATGAGCTGGGACAGTTTCAACCGAGGTGATGTCTTCTTGCTGGACCTTGGGAAAGTCATCATCCAATGGAATGGCCCAGAGAGCAACAGTGGGGAGCGCCTGAAGGTATGGCTTCCTAGCCTTAGCACTCTCTCAAGTTCCTCTTTCTTCTTCCCTCCATGCTGGCTCTTTCCCAAGAATCAAGGTGGAGCCCTGCCTTTGAGTAGAATCTGTCTTGGAGACAGGCCAAGTGTGTGAGTTTGTGACTCACCCTGGACTCCTCAGCATCCGAGTAACTCCTGTGTCTGAGATCTAGGCTGTTCTCCCCAAAGACATCAGGCAGAAAGGGGTCCCAGAGGAGCTGAGGACTCCCTTGGGCTTCTCTGACAGGCTATGCTTCTGGCAAAGGATATTCGAGACAGGGAGAGAGGAGGCCGTGCTGAAATAGGAGTGATCGAGGGAGACAAGGAGGCAGCCAGCCCAGAGCTGATGAAGGTCCTTCAGGACACCCTTGGCCGACGCTCCATTATCAAGCCTGCAGTCCCTGATGAGATCATAGATCAGCAGCAGAAATCAAATATCATGTTGTATCAGTGAGTAACCAAACCTGGCTTTAGCTGGAAGCTGGGGTCGGGGGGAAGGTGTCCCCTAGAACATCAGCCACCTCTGCTTGGCTCCTTGTTTTGGGTATAGTCATCTGGTTTTCTTCTTAGTCCTTTTCAAATGCAGCTCCTAGAAAGCTTGGAGATCCCCCGCTCAATGAGGCAGTTGTTCCTGTTAGCAACTCTCCTGATCTCTTGAGGAGACCTTTCCTTTACTCTGGCCTACACACGCCCAGGGATGTGGAAGGAATAATGTTTGGGACAGAGATGAACAGAAGTCTCCACCAAAGAAGAGTCTGCACATTCCTGTCCTCCCATGGCTGTCTTATTAGGAAGTCACACTCTACCCAGAAACTCCAAACTAAAACCAAACCAGAACAACATCTAGTTGACTACAAGATGCTTTATAGAGGAAAAGGCACAGGCTAATCTCTCCCCTTCTCCAGTGTCTCAGATTCACCTGGGCAGCTGGCAGTCACAGAGGTAGCAACGAGGCCTCTGGTCCAGGACTTACTGAACCATGATGTAAGTAGAGTTTGGGTGGCCTTAGCTTGGGGTAGCCAGACCTGCTTCAGAAGCAGACACTGAGCAAAATCTTCCTTCTGGTCTTGAGCAACCATATCTATCTCTGGCTGCTTTAGGACTGCTACATCCTGGACCAAAGTGGAACCAAAATCTACGTGTGGAAAGGAAAAGGAGCCACAAAGGCTGAAAAACAGGCAGCCATGTCTAAAGCGCTGGTAGGAGCTACAGATGTGCAATACTGTTCAAATAATTCTGCTAAGAGCACTTCAGGTGTGTCACTTCACAGAGTCATGCTAGGTATGTGAGCATATAACATTGTGCTTACATACATGGACTGCAAAGTCAGGCAGACAAACTGGGATTCAAATCCTGGTTTTGCCTTTTCCAGCTGAGTGCTCTGGGGAAGACTACTTAACACCTCTGGGCCTCAGTTTCCCCATATCTAACATGGAATCATACCCATCTCCTAGGGTTATTGTGAGGATTAAATATCATTTGTAAAGCACTCAAGGCTGGGCGCGATGGCTCACGCCTGTAATCCCAGCACTTTGGGAGGCCGAGGCAGGCGGATCCCCTGAGGTAAGGAGTTCGAGACCAGCCTGGCCAACATGGTGAAACCCCGTCTCTACTAAAGGTACAAAACAAAATTATCCAGGCATGGTGGTGCATGCCAGTAGTCCGGGCTACCTGGCGGGGCTGAGACAGGAGAATCACTTGAACCCGGGAGGCAGAGGTTGCAGTGAGCTGAGATCATGCCACTGCATTCCAGCCTAGGTGAAAGTGAGACTCTGTCTCAAAAACAAAAAAAAAGCACTCAGAACAGTTCTTGGCACACAGCACCTGCTGAATAAAAGGTGGCTGTTATTATTGAAGGAGATATCACATACCAAGGTTAATAGCCCTGTCCTCAAGGAGCTTATATTTGTGCAGATTCATGCAGATGAACCAAGCAAGATGCACTTACAAAGCAATAAATGAGCAAACGGATGTGATGAAAAGTCAGTAAGTACAAAAGTACTGAAAGAACACAGCATAATCTTCCAAAAAATTAACAATCATAATCACTGCAAGTCAATAAAGAGATCCAAAAATGTTCCACTCTTTTTTTTTAGGCAGGTACCTTGGTCCTTAGATAGAAGTGAGTTAGAATCTGACTGACTCCCAGAGGGGAGACTCTTATTATGTGGCTTCAAAGAGGTGAATTACCAGACAAGCAAAGAACTCAGTGTAATCCACAACTGACATGCCTTTGGGAATGGGTGGCTCTGCAGGGCTTCATCAAGATGAAGGGCTACCCCAGCAGCACCAATGTGGAGACTGTCAACGATGGTGCTGAGTCAGCCATGTTCAAGCAGCTGTTCCAGAAGTGGTCAGTAAAGGACCAGACCATGGGCCTGGGGAAAACGTTCAGCATTGGTAAAATTGGTGAGATTGCCCCCAGATCATCCTCTCACTGCTGGGACCCTAGAAAGGCAGGCACAGATGCTTCTTACTCACTCGGCTTTTCCCAACCCTTTCTCCACAGCTAAAGTTTTCCAGGATAAATTTGATGTGACTCTGCTACACACCAAGCCAGAGGTAGCTGCCCAGGAAAGAATGGTTGATGATGGCAGCGGAAAAGTTGAGGTAAGCCCAATGATTCAAATATCAGGGCAGGCAGCACTGGCCTTCCTGGCTGTCCTGCTAGGGGCAGGGGTGCAGGTGATTCAGAGTCTGCTTTGCTTTCCCTTTCCCCTCCAGCACCTCAGGAGTCTTCTCTAAGAGTCTTGTGGGTCTGTAGAGTTTTCAGGGGAAAGAGACACACATCCTCAAATGTGCTATCAATATCTCACCTGGAAGATCTATTCAAATCATCGCTCGGCCTTACAAAGACCAAGCCATGATGGGATGCTCCTAACTAGGATGGCCCAGTTCATCTCAGGATTCAAATCATGCAAATGTGATGAGTCCTCAGCACTGGGACAGAACCAGAGGGAGAAAGAGAACATGGAGTAAATGTCAGCACCTTCCCCACTTGGATTCTCCCTTTAGCGTAGCCTAGCCCTTCCCAGCCCCCTATCTCTGGAAAACGGTGTCTCCTTCCATGCCCAGGTCTGGAGAATTGAGAACCTGGAGCTGGTCCCTGTGGAATATCAGTGGTATGGCTTCTTTTATGGGGGAGACTGTTATCTGGTCCTCTACACATACGAGGTGAACGGGAAGCCACATCACATCTTATACATCTGGCAGGTAGGCCTGGCACAGGCTTCAGCTTTGGATCCTGATGCGTCCTCTGGCCACTGGGCTGGGGCGGGGAGCATGGGTCCTTCATGGTCTCTCACCACTGCAGGGCCGCCACGCCTCACAGGACGAGCTGGCAGCCTCAGCATACCAGGCAGTGGAGGTGGATCGGCAGTTTGACGGGGCCGCTGTGCAGGTTCGAGTCAGGATGGGGACGGAGCCACGCCACTTCATGGCCATCTTCAAAGGGAAGCTAGTTATCTTTGAGGTGAGGATGCTCTGATAAAATTACACCATGAGCTGGAATGTTCCAAACTAACAAACCAGCATGGGACTATTGGCGAGCAGAGGAGGGGTCGGGTAGGGAGTCAGGCTTGGATTAGACAGAGGAAGAAGGGGGTTAATCCCTCTAAGACAGTCAAGTGAATCCCAAATGCCTAGGGCTTCAAGTCTGAACCACTATCTAAATTATGTTCAAGGTCTTTCATAACGTGACCCATATTACCTATGCAGGTGCACCACCCTCAGCTCCCTAACCCGCACCCTCCACTTCAGTCAGGTGGGTCTCCTCATTAGACCTCACGTGTGCCACACCATACCCTTCCTGCTGCAGATGTGCCCTTTCAAATTCAAGTCCCACTTCTTCCATGAAGCCCTGGGCTGAAGCACTACCAAGCAATGCATAATGTCACATGCTTGACATCACACAAGTTTGGGGTCAAGTCTTAACCTTGTATTTACTAGTCAAGTTTCCAAGTCTCAGTGTCCTCATCTATACTGTGGAATAATAACATCTACTTCATAGAGTTATAAGGATCAATGAAATGATGTAGGTAAGGCACCAGTCACAGAGCCTGGCATATGATAAAGTTCTCAGAATGAAAGCTGTTGTTATTGGTACCATAACTCCAGCTCACCCTGACCCTTTCCAGTGAGCCTAGAAGCTCCTCAAGGGCAAACATAGTATTACAACATTCACGTTTCCCACAACAGCTCCTCTAGTGCTCTGCTCACATGGTGCTCCTCAGATCTGGACTCTGCTTTTCTTCTCTCTAGGGTGGGACTTCCAGGAAGGGAAATGCTGAGCCCGACCCTCCGGTAAGACTCTTCCAAATTCATGGAAATGACAAATTTAACACCAAAGCAGTGGAGGTTCCAGCCTTTGCCTCCTCCCTAAACTCCAATGATGTCTTTCTGCTGCGAACTCAGGCAGAGCACTACCTGTGGTATGGCAAGGTAGGATGACTGGGCCCAGGGGTCAGACCAGCCCCTGGGAGCCCAGACCTGCAGTCCCCTCCTCCTGTCAGCAAGGTCAAGGACCTAGAGTAGGTTGGAGTGCTAGCTTCGGCAGCACATAACTGAAATTGGAACGATACAGAGAAGATTAGCATGGTCCCTGTGCAAGGATGGCATGCAAATTCGTGAAGCGTTCCATATTGGGAAAAAAATAAAAATAAAAAAAAAAAGCCAGGTGCAGTGGCTCATTCCTGTAATCCCAGCACTTTGGGAGGCTGAGGCAGGCGGACCATGAGGTCAGGAGTTCAAGACCAGCCTGGCCAGCATGGTGAAACCCCATCTCTACTAAAAATACAAAAATTAGCCGGGTGTGGTGGTGCGCACCTATAGTCCCAGCTGCCTGGGAGGCTGAGGCAGAAGAATTGTGAACTGGTTGGGGGCGGAGGTTGCAGTGAGCCAAGATTATACCACTACACTCCAGCCTGGGCAACAGAGTGAGACTCCACTTCAAAAAAAAAAAAGAGTAGGCTGGAGCAGTCCTCAAAAAGGAAGCCTTTTTCCTAAGAAATCTTCAAAGGGATCACCAACATTCTCCACAATCAGACTCCAATTAGAAACTCACTGAAGGCTGGGCACAGTGGCTCATACCTATAAACCCAGCACTTTGGGAGGCCGAGGTGGGCTGATCACCTGAGGTCGGGAGTTCAAGACTAGCCTGACCAATATGGAAAAACCTGTCTCTACTAAAAATACAAAATTAGCTGGGGTGGTGGCACATGCCTGTAATCCCAGCTACTCGGGAGGCTGAGGCAGGAGAATTGCTTGAACCCAGGCTGCAGTGAGCCGACACTGCGCCACTGCACTCCAGCCTGGGCAACAAGAGTGAAACTCCATCTCAAAAAAAAGAAAAGAAAAAGAAAAAAAAAAGAAACTCGGCCGGGCGCGGTGGCTCAAGCCTGTAAT